TTCAAGCTGTGCTACCTGTAACTCATTCCATGTCATGAACGCACAGACAGGTTGAGCTTTGGTGGGTGTCTCTGTATTCAAGCATCAACAGCGCTTTGTTCGAAAATAAAAAAAATCTTAAAACACTAGCTATGCTTGGGAGCCTTTAGCTTTACTCACACAGTAAGGACAATATACTATACGGTTGACAGATCATAATGATGTATACTATCAAGTTCTTTGACTTTTATTCAAAATATTCTTACCGACCTGTGTATTGTTAATACAGAAATGTAAGGGATATATTTACATAGTCATTGGTGATATTTAATTGTATCATTAGCTGTTTTTAAGGATGACCAGAATAACGCTAACGCTTTTATTAGAGGTAATGTGCCTAACATGCAGAAGGCATTAATAATTTTTGATATCGGCTATAACATGTTTTGTAGACGGATATATGTGCTCCTTTTTGATGCATCTCTATATTTTGATTCGCAAATAAGTATCTATTTGTTTTTATCAATGCTTTACCGTTTTTTATCAAATATAGATCAATATATACAATGTATCCCATGTAAAATAATAAAAGAAATATCTTCTATAAGAAAAGAAATCACATTGAAATACAAAAAGACTTATCGTTTTTTTATTGTACTTTATTGAGTTAATTTGGAAACAAAACGTTTTAAAATGTCCTTTTTGCTTACCTCCATGCTTTGCCGTTATTAAGGCTACTTCGACGAGGCATACAACGTATTGTATTTACATTGACAGGTGTGTGGGAAATCACGTGACCCGGAAACGCACTTTCGACTGTATGGTTACTGTTTATACGGTCGTACGACCGAAAATGGTCTTTGCTGCGACTGAGGACCTACGACCGTGTTCATAAAACGGTCATGTGGAAATCGTAAGCTCGGTCGTCAGTATTTGTCGTAAGATAAGATCGCGGTTACGACCGTTTTTGGTGACAAAACGACACCCAGATTTCAAATAGTTCTCATCAGCTATATAGAGTGCAGTTGCTGGAAAAGCGTAAATCCTGCGAATATTCGATCTGTTTAACGTCTATAAAGCCCTTCTATCAATTGGACGAACTAAATTAAAACCTGTTAAGCAAAACATGTACTAGTATTGAGTGCCGCCGTGTTTGATGACGTTCATATGAAATTATCACACATTTGGTATTAACCTGTCTTTTCAGTTTGCTCTACTGATGATTCATGCATTATTTCATGCACTAGTGTCCACGTGAGTAAAATCACCGGCCTTCTGTAAGCTATCTAGCCATGCATGACAGAATCTAAAATCCCATGAGGTATTCGGATCAACAGCAGTGTGTGACAAGTTATTTGATGTATCAAATACAATCGTTTAAAGTTATATCAAATATCAATTTTTTTAATCTTTACCTTAACTTGTGTGCTACGGATTTCCTCAATACTTGGACGTCATTAAAATATTCTATATTTGTAGCCGATAAACGAAAAAAGTTTTCAGCAACAAAACTAGTTGACACAAATAATTACATCCTGGTCTTTATCTAAGCCTGTTTAAGGAAGAGCAGGAGTTGAACTCAGGTGTCCACTCATAACAGATATGATCAATAATCTGGCGACCGAATGTCTTTTTTTTCCAAGTATTGCTCTTAAGTCCTCAGATATTGTTTTCAAAAATAGTTCCAACCGTTTACATAGACAATCCTTTTCTTATTCACAATTGAATAGTGACCCTATCACGAAGTAAAAGTAAATATTACCCAAGGGATACATATTAATTATAAGCTAACTTCAAACCAAATATATGCTTTGTTATTTTTTGTTTTATTTTAACGCCTTTTTCCAACAGTATTTCAGTCATATAGGCGGGTAATTTCCTAATCGTCGTTCCTGGAGAGTTACACCAGTACTAAACAACCTTCCTCCGCGCTAAACTACCAAAGCATCTCCCGGGGATCGAACAAACGCCAGAGAGGGAACTGGATTAGAAGTCATCGACTCTTACCCTTCGACCACGGAGGCGGTTTAAATATATGCAATAAATAGGTAAAATTAAGACTGTTTGAGGAAACATGACATAGACCCCATACATTGACATCGACCTGAAACTTCATTATATATAGAGGTTTATCTACTTAAGGTTCGTACAATGATATACAGGAATACTGCAGTAATTGTAAAAAGGACCACTTTTTGAATTGGGGCTAGTAATATCAGGAAATTTTATGAATTATGGGTTAGTTTTTGAATTAAGCCATACTTTCAACACAAACTATTTGCAACAAATGAACATTTATATCCCTCTACAAATGTTGCCTTAAGATTGAATTGCGAATTATGATGTTCACATATTTGAAAACAAAGTATGTGGTTCACCGTTTATTTGATCAATGGTTCAATATGAAATAAAATCTTATTGAAGTACTTTTAAATATCTTGATAAAACGGAACACATGAAATTATTAGCTCTCTCAGCTGTACAAATATGACATAAGCATTCGATACAAACATGGGTAAATTCACTATATTTGTTGACAAACAATTTGATCTAATAATTTGCAGTTTACTATAGACTACAGTGTACTTATCTTTTACTATTTATTCTGCCTATAAACACAGTACACGGCACAAGTTAAATATATATCTATGATTAAAGTTTATAAGTTCATAAAATATGTATCTGTTTAGTATCTTTAATGCATGATGTTGTACTTTTCAATATAATAGTAGATAAAGAAAATCGATGATCCTTACAATTTACCGCAATTAAATCTAATATTAAAAATCTTGTATGTTGTTATTAAGGATGTAACAACACTTTTATAAATGTATATATTTTTTATATATATTATAGATTTTTAATTACCTCACTTTATTTATATGAAATATGAATTTGGTAATATCTTTACCAAAAATGCTTTTTCAATATTAGGTGGTCTCCCTATCAAACTCTTGTCGACGTTAAGTTCCTAATTGATAATTATCTGAACATAGTTTCACCTTATATTAAAACACAAGGAAATTAACTGTTAAAAGATTAGTCTTAACAAAAATAATAATAAATTATATTACCATCCAAAGTCGGAGAAGTGCCATATACATATAGAGTGTTTTGTTGGCCTTATTCTAAAAATAATGTAATAAACATAGTTTTGGTGACACATCATAAAAAAGCTTCATGCAACTAGTATATTGTGCATACTGCAGTACACATTTTACACTTCTAATGTTGATATGATATGATATAATGTTGATATGATACAGAATTATATAGATATTAAGATTGCTGGAACTATGGCCTGTGCCACCTGTATGTTAGCTCATCGTGAAGTCGGGGGTACTCCTGACTCGCGACAATCTTTTGGAGGTCGAGGGTCGGGAGTGCAACTGGCATGGCCTGGGGCGCGTGTTGTCGCAGGAAGACCATTTTGGAGCTTCTAGGCCCCAGGTCATGCTCTGGTTGATTTCAGGTCCGCAATAGAGTGGGCAGAGACTATCAGTTCCGGTTGATTTAAATATTATTTGAATCTAATGTTTTATGTTATTGGGAGCTTTGAAAAATACCTTTTTTCGAAGATAGATAAAATTTATAATAAAGGGAAATAAATAAGTTAACGTATGTTAGGAAATTTATGGTAGATATCCTTCTTTATGAGACATGACTTTTTAGAAGCATAGCAATGCAAATGTATATGGAATAATTGTCATTTTCTTTTTTTTACAAGATTTTTTCTTTTGTATTTATACACAAATTTAAGCTACTCCAATAATTACATATAAAAATCCTGTGATGAGAGTAGTATGTTGATCAACTATCCCGTTAGGAGACATGAAATATGGTTTATTCTAATGGAGATAATCCTTGTCCTCGGTGTTTATAAGTATACCTACCATATATGTGAACTACACATAACATAATACTTTAATTTATATAATATTTTCTACTCTTTCTTCAACAACTATCCACGGGAAGACCTAATTTGTTTTTCGTATACACTTTTCGTTTAGGTTATCTTGCTGGGGACACTTTGGAGAACAGGATGAAAAAAAAAGTAAACTGTGAAATGAAAGTAAAATTATCTCAAAAACCACCTGTTCATAATTATTATATAATGCAATTATAAACCATTGTTTTCTTCTAACGTTCTTTTTATATTATCTCATCAACTTCAAAATTTATACTATAAATGTATTATGAAAATCTTATGTCTCCTATTATTTAATCTTATGTCTCCTTATATTTAATGTTTAATGGTTTGCTGTATGATGTGCATTTGCATGGTTATGTATGATTGTATGATTTCGTTTTATAAATAAATGGGGTTCCACATTTGTGGACCTGAAGCTGAAAAAAATGCTTTTTTGAACTTACAATATAGGTAAATTTTCATTTAAGCATGCGAAAAAATCAGTTGTACAATTCTTTAGAAGAAACAAACCTTTCTTTATATTTCGCGAAAATACATTTAGGCGATTTTTGTTCCTTAAAAGATATTATAACGCTGCCTAAATTCTTATCCTATTACGAAAAGTAACAACTTATCAAACACCATTGTACGACTCAAAATTAACAGTTAACTTCTAACAGTAACGTGTCAGGAAATATGAATATCGGTTCTAAACATGCAGGAAAAATATACGAACATTGCCAAGAACGATTAATATATGACAACAGCAGTCCATGAACAGGCTCAAACAAAAGTATTCTCCATATTGCTGTGTTGTGCCACAGTCAAGGTGTCCATTTCTATAAGGAGTTATGATAAAATGATATCAAACTCGTATGCCACAGTCAAAAGTGTTTTTGTTTTATATGAAGAATGAATGCTATTTATTGACAAAAGACATAAAAATGTAATAACAACATAAACATTATGCAATTTCACAGTGGAAACATATTTGAAAATCACAGTAATTCACCAAAATGTTCTCAAATATATCAAATCTTATTTTATAAATTCGGAATTGTGAATTGTTTTTTTGTTATAGATTATTTATTGAAAATACTAAATAATGACGTTGCTATTATAAGTCGTTCATCACGTTTTTACCAATTTTGTATTTTTTTATGAATATGGATATAGATATACAGACTGTTGGAAAATTATTGTAAGAAATATTTATTCAGTGATGACAGGAAAGACTCATTAGATGTTGGAGTGCCATGATACACAATCAATCAACGTTATCATCCGTTTGAAAATCAATCTAAATATTCATCTTCATATGAATTCGATGATGAATCATCAGACATTAAGGGAACGGATTTTTGTTTAAAAGTGCAATGTGGACATGCAGTAGGACATCGCAGTTTACTTGTTGATATTGGTATAACAAAAAGTTTCTTATTTTTCTGAATGTTCTTACGTATGTTAACGTCTTCTGGAAGGGATATAGATTCCCATGTTACATTTTGAAATTGACTTTGTAATATTTTTTCATGGCTTATGAACTGCATCCTTATATCATCCGCCATACTTGACTTGTAAGAAACTGACAGCCACATTCCATTGCTAAAATTGTATTGTACAACCCATCCTTTGTTTTTTTCAAAGTCAAATTTTGTAAGCACATATTTCTCCAACAGCGATTGTCCTGACACTCCCGATAGACAATAACAGAGTGCATTGTTGTATATCAAAAATCCATCATCAGTTTCATTGATTCTATAGTTTGCATCTGGTATTATTTCAACTATTTCAATCTTGAATACAGTCATATCGAAAAGAACAACTTTTCCAGATTCTGTCAGCAAGGCAGCGATAGAGTTGCTACCTATACATGCATCTGAAATATCTAAATTTCGCAATGAGAAAATCGGAAACAGGCGAATGTGTTCCCCCGTAGAAATATATCCAATATACAGATCTGTGTATTCGACAGGTTCTGAGAAATATATATCCAAATCGTTGCGCCTCAATGGATAATCTTCCTCAGAAGTAATAATTGGCATACATGTCAACCCCCTATATTCAGACAGATTTGATAGAGATTGGTCGTTGTCAATAACCGGTGGAACAGGCAAATTAGCACCATTATTACTGAGGGTAACATTTGCGCCAACAGGTATTTTGTCTACTTGGAGCAATTGAAGGAAGGATGATCCAGGCTGTTGTGTTGGTTCAACACTAGTTTGCATACACGTGTTCTGAACTTTTAACTTTTTGAAAAAATATCCACTTTTCCTTGCTGTTCCAATTATAATATCATTCCTCAAACGTACATTTCTTAGTTCTGTCTCTGATATTTCTTCATCAGGAAAACGGAAATAATATGTCTCCATAACATCTGTATTTAAATTGATATTGACCACACACGGTTCAGAGAATCCATTCTCTTCTTGATAAAAGTAGATTTCAGGACTACTATTTTGTACGCCAGTAATTCCAGAATTTTCTTCGTGCATATATGTATATCTGAACTCATGCATTCTGTCTTTTAGCCAATACCACCGATTTTTATGAAAATTGAATAAATCAAAGTAGTTTTCCCTATCAGATATTATCAAAACATTTTGTCGATTGTTTTCATTGGTTTCTCTATGTATCACAGCTTCAAAATTAATAACTTTATTAAAGGGAGACAAATTCTTTACACGCTCGATGGTCCTATTGGATATTTCTTCTGTATCGATTTTGTTAAACAGGCTACGAATATATTCCTCTGATTCACTCTGATTGTGTGTTACCCAGGCAGCAAGGAATTCAATTTTTTCATCCATAGAAACGTACGTGAACTTTTTATCAGTGAAAAAATATTCCAACGATTCCCTTGATATGGTAGTCGCATCTTTATTTCGAAACACCTCATGTAGATTGCTTTCAATGTATGTATCAAGATCTTTCAGTTGAAAGTTGTATTTTGTCGATAATTGCAACACAAATAAACAGTTCTCATTTGTGAGTGTCTGATTTTGAAGCCAAAAAATACAATACGATTTTAAATTTTCTATTATGAAAAATTCAGCAAGTTCCAGTATACCTCCTATATTGTCAAAACTTAAATTGGGGTTTCGTCCATATAGGAACAGAAGTGCCATTTCCACTTCTTCTGTTGTTGTTTCGAGCTTAAGGTCAACAACTCCTAGTTTAAGAAAACAATTTTAAAATATAGATTACACACAAAGGTATTAAATCGAGTTTTTAATCTTCTAAAATCTACATTTTCTCAATATTATAATTAACATAAATTAAAAGTAACAACATTCATTTTAATAACAGAAATTTGTTGCTTCTGTAGAGCATGATATTAAAGCAGACATTTTCATTTCAAATCAAGGCGTTTGTTTTATGAAATATGTGTGATTAATATCTTCGAGCTTCATTAAACAAACGAAAGTGTATCATTTAAATATTTTCATTATCAAATCACTGCCTCTTCTAAAGATAAGATTTAGATCTTACACCCATGAAGCTACGTGTATATCTTAATTCGAAATAGAGAAAGCTTACTTGTCGCCCATTCAATAAAATTTGATTTCGCTCTAAAAACGTTATCAAAGAATGGACTCGCAGATAAAACACATCGATGAAACTTCTTTTCCTGAAATAGATAATAAACCAGTGTTGTTATAATATGTATGTAAATATATTTTCCAAACCTAAGGTTTCAAATGATATTTCTCTTTTTTTGGAGACTTAACCGTTCACATGCATTTGAAGACCGAAATAGATAAAATATATAAAATCGGTTTGAATCATAGGCATTTAAATGCCACACCAATTAAATGTGACAATTTGTGCTACTATTTTATCAAAAAAGTCGTATTGAGTATAAATGTAATTGCTTATTGTCTTAATAATAATGAACAGTGTTTACCCATTGTCCATGTCTCACTGTTATGTCACATAGATCCGAATGTTCTTCTACCTGTCGAATGAGGTTTTCAGAGACTGGTGTAAAATTTCTTTCCTGGTAGTTTACCTCCATCTTTAGTAAAAAGCGTAAGATTATGATGAAATAATCTCGGCAATTGTAATTGATTATTCTATTTGAACTAACAAAATACTTGATAAATTTAGCATTAAACTGAATTGTTTCACTTTTAATTTATCAGTGTGTCCATACCACTGTTTTTACGTCATTTTATACGTTGAAACGGCAAGCAGAAATCGTTTAAACTAACGTAAGTTCTTTATTTTTCCGTCTGTTATCAGTTTGACTTCCTGTAAAATTAACAGTGAATTCCATAGGTCATTCTAAAATAAAATGTAAAGGATAGTTCTTACCATTCTAAAATCAAATGCAAAGGTAAGTTATTACAATTCTAAAATAAAATTGTAATGATAGCTTTGAAATAATATTTTAAGGATAGTTTTTGCCATTATAGAATCAAATGTAAAGGAATGAGAATAGTTCTTTAACTTTAAGTTGAATCGCCAATTAGCAAACATGCCCCTTATAACATTTTTGCTACAACTGGAAACGAACGCAGCGAATATTAACACCTTTTTATTATCAAAAAACGAATGGTTTACATATAATTTGAAATTACAATTTAATTAACGCTTTACATTACACACATTTTGCTGTCAACACATTTTCCAAACTTGGCATAAAGAGATTGTAGATAAGGTATTTTTGCATATCGGACAGGATTATCTACTTATTATTTCAAAATATTAAGTGTTGACGATTGATTACAGCTGTGACGGTGCTAGTGAGCGTAAAGAATGTTGCACTTTGCTATTATCCCATAACAGACTCTGACTCTGTTACATTATCTATTACACATGATGCCCAATCCCATCGTCGTCGCAAATTTATATCCAAAATATAATTGCTGGGCATCATGGGTAGAGAAATAAAACATCGCTGCTCTCGGTTTCGAATATTTTTACTAACGCTACTACAGTGAGATGATGCAAGGTGAATTTAGGCGGGAGTTTATCAGCTAGTAGCTAATACTAGAGACCAAAAGCAAGACAATATATTACAGACACAGTAAGACCGAGTCAAGAATTTTATGTAAATAAATTGTTTTCATTGCATCCGAGTTATTACCCCATTTCCAAACAAAATGTTTTATTGGTTAAAAAATTACTTTGCACATTACCGTACAATATGTGTGTATGTTAAACATGACTAAACCTTTAATCAATATATATTAACAATGACATCTTTAAATTTCTTCATATTTGTAATTTAAAAGTAATAATATATTATGTTTACTTACCCTATCATTTACTGTGCCGTTCAAAAACTAGGATTGTTCTTCAACCTCTTGTTTTACTATCAAGCACTGAAAATAGTCGAACGCACTGGATCTTGTTAACAGATAAGTAGCGAAGTTAGACATTCTATTTAGAAGAAATTACTTAAATTTACTATCGACATTGATACTGTTAAGAAGCTAAAACAGTTCTCGAAGGAAATATACGACAATGAAGAGTTAAACATTTTTAATCTCACGAGTTAAGCATGCGATAAATTCATCGGTGAATGTCTTTAAAACGTTTTTGCGAGAATGTAAAATTTTGCTTCTTTATCTATTAAAATACAAAATGGCGACACACGCCTTTAAGAAAAAGGTAATAAATAGAAAAAAAAACAATAGATGCCCACGAACCGACCCAGGATACCGTATATTTCAGTTGAAAGTAAGAAGACACTTTTTTATTAGCTGTGTTTGGAGTAAAGTCGTATAAATACTTTTGTATAATAAAACTACTATTCAAAAAAAGATAATTTAAGTATTACTATTCATAATACATATGAACATGATAAAAAAGCAGTACTTACGGTATTTATTTTAGAGTCGAAAAGGTTGAGGTAATATTATAAGACTATGCCACTTTATTGTTTTCGATCAATGACTGTAAATCTGTGAAACGTTAACAAACATTTTGTCAATATCGACTCCTCTTCTTAGTCTACTGTATTATGTTAATCGTATAGACATGCAAATTTAACTGTTAGCGAAATAAATCGGTATTTGTCTCTTATTATTTCGAATACCTTATTTATAGCGTAATTTATAATTATTTTCATAATGATAATGAATTTAGAATTTCATTGTTGTATTTGAAGTTGTTTAAATTGTTAAATTTTAAATCGTTTGACTAACATGTACATAACCGCCTCCGTGGTCGAGGGGTTTGAGTCGATGACTTCTAATCCAGTTACCTCTCTGGCGTGGGTTCGATCCCGGGAGATGCTTTGGTAGTTTAGCACGGAGGAAGGTAGTCTAGTACTGGTGTAACTCTCCAGGAACGATGGTTAGGAAACTACCCGCCCATATGACTGAAATACTGTTGGGAAAAGGCGTAAAATGAAACAAACAAACAAACAAAACTAACATGTACATAACAATACTCTTTCGGATTATGCATTTTCGTTTTTATTATCGTTCCTTAAATGTATATCAATAAAACCATTTACGATTTTTTATTGGTGTACTTTTATGATTTATTATTTTCTAATAAGTCAAATATATATTTACATACTACATGTGATGAATATAATTTTATACAGAATAATATATTTTGTAAGGAAATAGATGATTTCTAAGATTAAGATATAAATTTCTAAATTCTTACCTCTTCATTTGTCTAACGACTGTTTTATTCAAATTACGTAACATCCACAAATACATGTAGCTTAAAATTTCCATGAAAGGAAGTTTTTATGTTCATGGTATGTCGTATCAATGGCAAATCTAGATAATTATTCGGTTGTGATCTCATACAGTGTTAATCAATAAATACGTAAGCATAATTCATTCTAAAAATAAATAAAAAGACAACTTGCTGGTGTAGGGAGATTATAAATGAGGAAATACTTTTAACTCATATAATTTTAATCTTTGAACGCCTGGGTTTCTACAAGTGAATAAGCTAAAATATTATCATTTTATTCCTGTAATCATATATCCGTGAAATCTTATATAATTACAGTTCAAAACTTTACAATGAAATAATAGAACGAATGACTTGTAACTGCAACTTGCTTTTGTATTTCGCAATAAATATATCTACATGTAGTCTAAAAATAGCTCCAACACATACATGAAACCTAACCCACTTAAAGCATACTCTATTCTTAAGCTTTGTATCTCGCCCATGGTGGCCTGGATTTTTACAAGTTCGTAATAATTATCAAAAAACCTGATGTGTGTATTTTTAAAAGTACGATTACTATCAATCAAACTTATCTTATCATAACAAGTCAATGACATTCCTAACGAATGTGATCAAAATGTTTAGATATGTAGAAATGTCTAATTTAGGCAATAGTAAATGTTTAATAAACATTTATACATGCTTAAAAAATTCTAAGGTATTTTTAATAATCATTTTCATTTTTAATGTCTTAAATATCCATACAATGTTTCAACAACAACATTATGTTAAACAATAATGTAATAACATAATTAAATATCTTATTATTTCAGCCATGTTTGAACAACTTGAATATAGTGATAGAAAACATAGCGGTTAAGACCTAACTCCAAATTTAGATATGTTATTGAACAAGTTTGTGATCAATCTCCTTTGTGTGACAATACAGTTAAAGTTGGAACGGAATGGGTAAACAATGTTATTCATAGTCAATCCAGTAATCGTTTAGATCATGTTATTAATTTATGTAAATTGTAAGTCTTGATTCTCAGCGTTTGTACTTTGTACCTAATTCGAAAACTGTAGTTCAACCATATTCTATACTAGTTAATAATAAAGTTGAAAATAACAATTAAGTGAATAGTCTTAAAACATGAAAATCAAGTTTTAAAGCCATCAATAATATAGGTCATTGGTTACTGGCAATCGACAAGACGTATGATAATTAATTAAATTAATTTTAATATAGGAGGGAAATCAGCCTCAAACATGATTTACAGTGTAACCTGATGTTTAATTAAATATTACACCGAAGTAGGCTATTACTTGACACATTAGAACATTTATTGTTCTAGACAAAAGTTTAGATGTTTCATAATTCAAAATATTACCTTTTCATGTTGAACTTTGAACTCTAATTAAGCAATGCATCTACTAGGGGACGTTGACGGTAACTTGTCCTGTTCAGTACCATCTATGAACAGACTCAACCAAACTAATCCTAAACGTTTTTAATTTCGCCGTTTTGACGTTCCTTAGGTTTTCTTTATTTTTCTCTATTTTAGCTTTATTGCAGCACATAATTCCTAGAAAAAGCCATCTGCCAGAAGTTTTCAAATCCGAAGAGGCACAGTGCTTTTCAAGGGAATTAATCCAAAAGCTATTTACTGACAAACGACTCCCTTATGTATCAATGGACGATCGGTTATCGTTTCTAATACACTGGGTCAAAAATAACTCGGATGAGAAAAACGCAAAAGTTAAGGAACTATTTGACACAATTGATATACAAGATATTACCGATTCTCTTTTGCGGGAAGCTTCTTGTGTTGGAATATTAAATTATATTATGGTATCGAGCAATAAGGAACGTACGTTACATGGAGGTTAGGTTAATGTAAATGTGATGTTTTGATCATGACAGGTGAGAAAGATTCCCTTTTGTGCTTTAATCCTCAAAACGACACGTGGTATAAACTGATTTTTTAAAACGACATTCCTTATAGAAATATTTCTTGCATACGAAACATAAATCCTGAGTTATACATGTATTTTACAAAAGGGAAAGATCACTTGATATCAATGATAACGACTTTGAATATAGAGCAATAACAAAATAGATTCATACAAGTTTACCCTAAAAGACGAGGACACGTCTAGAGAAACAATAAGAAATGTATACATAGCAGATAACACTTTGCTAGTTCTCACCAGAAATCATGCATGTTCAAATTATAGAAACACTTGCTGGCAATCAAACTGAAAATAAGAATTTGATGTTGATTGCCCTTGGACTTCATCAAGTTATATCGTTTTAGAACCATCAGAAAAAAGAGTCAGAATACCAATCATTTGTGATAATGAAAGATTATACCCAGAACATTTTCTAAGCGAGGACCAGAATATAACTCTGAAGGACACGGTTAATATCGCAGTTCATGCTGGTATTGTTACAACTGAAAATGTTGTACCAGTATTTTATTTGCGAAACATTGACATTTCACGATCATGTATAAACATCACACTTTCTACAGTCGCTTTACTTCCAACAGGCCAAGGGTCTGTGATACTGTTTGATCTTACAAGTTACAAAATGGAAACTTTTTATTTAGAGCAAGAAACCCATTATAAAATGTCTACGACAAACAAAGGATTTGTTATATATAACAACAAACGTTGTTATTGTTTGACAAATATGTACTGGTCACTACCATCTCAAAAGTACCTGATTGGGCTCTTTGAGCTTGAATCCGATGACCATAGGACTGTTTATCTGCTTTTCAATGGTTTTTGTATCAAATTTTTGGTCCGTTTCAAAGATATTGAACCAGTCTACGTAATTCGTGATCACCCCTCGTATGTATTGGTCACTTCCATCTCAAAAGTACCTGATTGAGCTCTTTGAGCTTGAATCTGATGACCAAAAGACAGACTATCTTTTTTGCAATGTTTTTGGATCATGTTTCATAAAACAGCTCATTATATTGATTGAACTTTAGAAATAAACTTTATCCGTCACGAAGAACTTATGAGCGAATTCTCTAAAGATTTAAAATGGACAAAAATATCTATACCAGACAGAAAGGTGATGCATAGTCGCTTATTAAACAATGAACTGTGTTCTGTGCAATCATCAAAGAACAAGTTCCGCTGTCAAATCAATTGTCCGCACTGTAATTATTCTCAGCGACAAAGCACCTATAAGGCTTCCGGAATATGTTTTAGATATACAGACCCAGACAACTAGATCTGAAATGGATTTCAGCAGCAGCTATGAATGTTCCGTCTATTAAACACTTTTACTTTATGGATAAACTAAACAAACACTTCTCCGAACATGTATTATACTTCTTGGTTGGTGACTTTCTTTTAAAAATTACTCACCACTCAAGAAAAATGCCAGGACTCCTTTTGATATCTTTAAAACACCATTTTTAGGATTGAACATTATCCTGTTTTCAGGAAGACAAGTTTTAAAGTCTCATAAGGTGACTATCTAGCTTAACTGCCAAAGAAGACTTCAGGTGTTCTCACGAGCGTCTGACGGTACCAGTATTCAAAATTACACCTGTATAGGACAAAGATGTTAGTTTGGTATTATTTTAGAGAGCAGCCCTTGTACCATTGCTTCTTTTATAAATTAGAGAAGACGAATAAACTACCTCAAAAATTTAGTTATTTTTATTGGATGTCATATGAAAAATATGAGAAACGTTATAGTCACCTCAACATTGGAGTTAAAAATCAATTTTACTTACCTTGTTATAACTTTTCGATGTTTGTATCGATTACACGAAAACAGTCGGGAAGAACAAAGACGTTTTTACAAATAATTTCATCCTGGTCTATATCTTGAAAAATCTTGTTTGTTAAGAGTGTGTGTTTAACTAAGGACCCTATTTATAACAAGCGAGAGAAGGTCTTTTACCACTAGTTTCATTCGTAAGTCACCATATATTGTAGGGTGTATAAAAAAGTTACCAAACTGTAAATTTAAGCATTCCTAATCTTATCTACAATAACATAGTGACACATCACCATTTAATTTAACCCAAATCAAGAACACATGTTTACATAGTTCAAAGCTAAGCCTTAAACGTATATTTTGTATTTTGTATAAATGTGGTTTAAATGAAGTCATTTTTTTCTGACAACGTCAAATATGGCTCATGACGTTTCGGAGTAGTTTGAAATCTAATTGTGTCATATTGTACAATATACGCTTCATAAACGTTGCAATATTCAATAAATTTAATTTATGGTCTTTATCCAATATTTATATTGTATAACTCTAATTTTATATGCTATAACATAATATTTATTCTATCCTACTAAAAATATTTGTTCATCAAAAATATTTGTGTGCGATAATTTTCTTTATATATGTTCTATATTTGAAAATATATATTGTATAATTTAAAATATTTATTGGATACAGAACTTAAAAATATTTATTCGATAATTTGAATCATGGGATAGAACACTTAGCATATTAAGCACTGCCTATAGATAAAAAGCATGAATTTCTGATAAAGCGTTATCACCCTGATAGTGTAGCGGAAATGATCAACGTTTAATAACAATAACATTGTGGCTATTGGTCTACAAAAATGAATTGCACCCTGTGCGTGGCTTAAGTTGAAAAGTAGATATGTGGGCTACAGTCTCACTAGGTGTTTCCGGTAAAACAATAAGTAAAATTCAGTCATAAACTTACTGACAGCAGCAAACGACAAAATTTTATCCACCGCTTCTGTGACAAACTGCGAGGCACCAACCGCTTCTGCAAAAGCTATGTCCAGTGTGATAATAATTGCATTGATATTCATAATTTGAATTCCTTACTTAGAGTTGTTTGCACAGTCTCGAAGCTACGGTCGAACAACGTTTATAATGTCCGCAGTCAATCGCCTGCCACTTTTCAACGTCTCTCTGGGCGACGTGACCAAGGTCCTTGAAAATTTCTTCTTTTTGCCTCTCCCTTAGCTTTCGTTTTTCAATTTCTCAATCACCTTTTTTTAATCATTTATTTCAATCAAAAACTGTGCTGTGGTTACCTTAACCTTTTCCCTTTTTCCATTATACCTTTCTATGTTTTAGACAGTTTCTCGACTTACTATTGACACAATTTCTTATTGATCGAATTTCGTGACGTTCCGACGGCATAATTTTAACGCGAGTTTTTCTTTAACAAGTGACATATGAATTGTGATTGCAAAGATAAATGTGGTTTAAATGAAGTCATTTTTTTCTGACAACGTCAAATATGGCTCATGACGTTTCGGAGTAGTTTGAAATCTAATTGTGTCACATTGTACAATATACGCTTCATAAAGCACCTATTCTTAGCCCAAATTGATGCACTTTGCCGGGTGTGCGTTACCATGGCTTTTTAATTCGCTGTTACGTACAAGCTATTTGCGTTATCAAATTAGATATGGTATAGTTTTCCGATAAATTGTGATGTTTATAACAATAAGTGATAGTTTGAAAATTCTTCAATTTAAAGCCTCAGTTCGGTTTATTTTTGATCATTTTCGTATGTCCTGAAGACTTTAAAATCTGTTTTCCATTTTTAGACATACCTATATATTTATAAGGAGGATTAAGCCTATGCACTATTTACAAGTGACATTCACACAGACAGTCTGTGAAATTATATTTTTTTTTGCTGTCATTCGGGCAACCAATTCAAGAAAATCTGGTTGTCCGAAGTAAAACTGGTTGCCCGAATATTTTCATCAGAACATCTCCAAGCAATTATTGATCAAATCTGCAAACTCGATATCTTTTTTGATATATTGCATTTTATCACTATTCGTTGACATTTTCATGAATACTTTCTGCAAAACTTTTCCATCACTTCACTGTTGTTATAATCTAGTCCTTCGGGATCATT